AAGGTCCTAAGAGGTAAGCTAGCAATGATACCATCTCAAGAGTAATGCAAAGCGGAATGATAGACATGTGGTGGATAGGGTACATAAAGGAGAATGTCGAGAGGAAAGGCTATAGAGAAAAGGCCCCGCCCTCGCTTGGGCGAAGTCGACCAGTCATTTCGGAACAAGACGGTGTTCGTTTCGTGGTCATCGGCGACTTCGGGGACTTTTATCTGTGTGCGACAAGACGTTTGTCGACGAGATTAATGGGTCGAAGTAGAAGTGTTTCTTCTGCTCGATCAAAGTCCTCGTCTAGGAGGAGCTCGTCGACGGGAGTAAAACGGCGTCGAAGACGGGCCTTTCTGATAAACGGAATTGGCAGAATTGGTGTTTCGACGGAGTGCTGGTTGACAGAATTTCGACGAGTGTTTCGTCGAGCAGAGCGATTCTGGTCGACCAGAATTACTTAGCTCCAAAATTCGCAATGTGTGCAAATTTCTCCTAATCACGGAACAGCAAATTTCGACCAATCAGGTAATTTCATAAATTGTACTCCCCAGGAGAATTCGATTCAGTAAGGAAACTGAACCTGAAACACGTTTTTACCAACAACAGTAAAAACGTGCACAACTATGAACGTTGTAAACCTGAGCAACTACCAACTCATGTGAAATATGCATGTGTTTGTCATTTCACCTGCCGTTGCTGACTCGACAGATTCAACAACTTGTCGAGGAACGTTTCTACAGGGTTCGTTGTGTCAGAAACAAGAAGTGATCAACTAGAAACATTTGGGGGTACAAGTATGAAACCCTAGAGAAATGTACACCCTAAAGGCTAACCCACTGTAGCCTACAAAATAGAAACATATACAATGTTTGACACACCCCCATAGGCTAAGTGGGGGAGAACAAGAGGTCACAAGACCAGTCAAGAAAGACAAAGCAAGCTCAGGGTGGATCACAACGTCACCACACACTCTGAGCACAAGCAAGAAGCATATATGTACCACAAGCATCACAGTGATCTATACCTAGCAAAGCAAGCATGCAGGTATATATATATAGATCACAGTACAAGCAGAGTCTACAACAAGTGAGGAAAAGTGGGCACAAGCCCTAGCAAGGTGCAGAAACGCCGATGATCACCAGAATGTGTCAGAATCCCAACCACTAGACCATTGGGATAAAAGGGCTTGTTAAGTAGCGGGTCAGTGCGCCCATAACCCCCCAGGCCAACATGCCTGTAACCCTTTCCTAGGATCAATCGGGGATCACCAGTGGACCTCTGACACCCCCCCGCACTGGGATGCCCGAAGTGCACACACTGGGATTCGAACCCGTGACCTTTGCTCTGATACCATGTCAGAATCCCAACCACTAGACCATTGGGATAAAAGGGCTTGTTTGTGTAGCGGGTGAGTGCGCCCATAACCCCCCAGGCCAACGTGCATGTAACCCTTCCCTAGGATCAATCGGGGATCACCAGTGGACCTCTGACAGAATGAAGCGCCTTGGTGAATATATCAGCAGTGTTGGCCTGAGTGGCCACGTAACGCAGACGAAGCTGACCACGCTGCTGCAACTCTCGAGCCAGAAAGTAACGTAGAGCGATGTGCTTCGTTCTGTGCTCCAGTCTGTGCTCCTCACACAAGGCAATGGCAGCCTTGTTGTCGACGTACAGCACTGGAGGAGAACGAGGCCGCTCTCCCAGGTCGGTCAGCAGGTAGGTGAGCCAGCGTAACTCCTGTGCAGCCATGGCTGTGGCGTAGATCTCAGCCTCACAACTGGAGCTGAGAACTGAAGACGAACGCGTAGAACGCCACGAAACTGAGCCAGAGCCAAGGCTGAAGGTGTAACCCTGTGACGACCGCTGAGTAGCCTAATCGTCAACCCAAGAAGCGTCTGAGTGCCCAGTGAGAACAACTGAGCTCCCTCCTCCAAGCACGAGCCCTATGCCCGATGTACTGCACAAGTAGCGCAATACCCTCTTTGCAGCATCCCAGTGCACCTTTTGGTGCCTACCAGGAGCTACGTAGCGGGCCAGAAGGCCAAGAGGGTACGCTAGGTCAGGACGAGTGCAAGTCATCAGGTACATGAGGCAGCCAACTAGCTCTGGGTAAGGACCACTCGCCTCTACGGACTCATCCGAAGGCAGAGCTGAGAGCGAGTGACCTGTAGCCAGAGGAGTGGCCTGTGCTGAGGACAAGGTGAAGCCGAAGCGCTGAAGGACCTGCTGCACCATGTGTGACTGAGTTAGTGTGATGGTGCGGCGTGCTCTGTCCCGGGTGATCTGCAAGCCAAGGTAGCTGCGCAGTTCACCCAGGTCTGTGCACGTGTGTCTCTTCTGCAGCTCCGACTTCACGTGGGCGAGAGCCTCAGTGTCAGCAGTGGCAAAGACCAAGTCGTCGACGTACACGAGGATGTAGAACGGCGGCAACGAAGTGTTGGTGCGCAGAAACAGCGACGGGTCAGCAGTAGAAGGCGCGAACCCAAGTGCCGCAAGAGTAGTCCTCAGTGTGTCGTGCCACTCACGTGGCGCCTGGCGGAGACCGTAGACCGGCCGCTGGAGGCTCCACTGGGTCCCAGTGAAGCCAGGAGGGCGGCGCAGTCAGATCTCCTCGTGCAGGCTGCCCTACAAGAAAGCTGTGCTGAAGTCAAGAGAGTGAAGCTCGTAGTCACGCTGAGCAGCAACGTGCAGTTGCACACGAAGAGTGGTCATCTTCGGGGTGGGGGAGAAGGTCTGAAAGAAGTCTACTCCCTCTCGCTGACTGAAGCCTCGAGCAACGTAACGAGCCTTGAAGACAGGCGGAGAACCTGGCGGCCGCTTCACCATGAAAATCCACATGCCACTGACGATGTTCGCCCCAGGAGGGGGAACCTCGTCGACGTAAGTGCCAATGGACTTCCAGGATGCCATCTCTGCGTCCATGGCTGACTGCCACTGAGAGGAGTACTCACCCGCGATCGCCTCAGCGTAAGAGCGCGGGGTCGGGATGTCTGGAGCATCCGGGTCTCCCTCAGGGGCAAGCAGCATGGACACGAGATAAGGCGCAGCGGCTGCAAGACACTCAAGGTCCTCCTGTCTGTCCTCAAGGACGTCCGTGCCTAGAGCACACTCACCCCCGACGGACGGAGGACAGACAGACTCAGACTCAGCAACAAGACTCGCGGCGTAGTCTAGACGACAGCGAGCAGCAAAGTCGACAAGCTCAGCAACTAGGGCAGACGCAGCAGCAGACTCAAAGGAAGGTTCAGTGACAGCAGTGGCCAGGAGACGCGTGACAGTAGGACTGGCAGCACGAAGAGAGTCAGACTCCGGGTCAGCAAGAACAGGAAGAGAGGACGCAGGAGGAGACGGCAGAGGGACACGCTGTGGAGCAGTGGAAGGACGCAGAGTCATATAGTGTGTGCCAGGGACAGGTGGAGGACACTCACGCAGAACACGGCGACCAGTGCAAGCAGCACGAACAGGTGACACAGAACGAGACACAGGCGACACAGGACGAGACTCAGGCTCACGACGCTCTGTAAGACCGCCTGTCGGACCAGTGTAGGGAGAAGGACCAGGAAGTGGCGAGGCAGGCGGTAGCTGTGACTGCGACTGTAAGGCTCACACTGCAGTAAGGCTCACACTGCTGTAAGGCTCACACTGCTGTAAGGCTCACACTGCTGTAAGGCTCACACTGCTGTAAGGCTCACACTGCTGTAAGGCTCACACTGCTGTAAGGCTCACACTGCTGTAAGGCTCACACTGCTGTAAGGCTCACACTGCTGTAAGGCTCACACTGCTGTGAGGCTCACAATGCTGTGAGGCTCACACTGCTGTAAGGCTCACACTGCTGTAAGGCTCACACTGTTGTAAGGCTCACACTGCTGTAAGGCTCACACTTCATTCAAGTAGCCCCTTCCCCTCTCCGTGACGCGCGGCCCAGTAAGCTGTTGCACAAGTGCATGCTCTGTTGCCATCAGTCTATACAGTTGAGGACTTACATACCTGCCTGCTCGGCTGCTTGCCTCAGAACACTTTTGCTTGGTTGCCATGTGCGTGTTGACCCTGCTCCCAGCCATACCCACCTCTGGACCCAAGGAAGCTTACCCACAACAACCATGCCCAGCACATCTTATTGCCAATGCGCGCTCCCTTGTCCCACTGCATCTTGTTTGCTTCCTTGTTGAAGCACTCTTGCTTTCTTTTCATGAAATCCGTCTGTGCATCTCCACCTCCGTTTTTTTGGCAACATAAAGGGATCTGAGCTCAAACCGTCTTACTGGCACCATACCCCAAGGGCTTTCAACTCAAACCAGACTAGAAGTTCTGTAAGTTTTACACCACCAGCTCAGTTTTACAATCATATTCCAACACTCTAATGTATTTCTTTTAATGTTTGCACTCCCAGGCTCCAACTATGTGGATAAGAGTGTTTGCCCTTTTTGTATCCGCTCTCCCCTGTATTATTCGGTCCCGTTTCCCATCCTCCCTTTTTTACCCAAAGCAACCTGAGGGACAATCTGCTCACAGGGAAGGTCCTCGAACCCGTGCCACCAGCAATAAAGACATACAAGCTGGACAACAACTACTTGAGTGAGGGGTTCTCCTTGTGGGCAAGGCTACATCACATACCACAGCAACTGTGCAGCCACACCAGCAGAGGGCCTTGCGTGTGCAGACAGCCCTCAGAAGACCGACCCCGTCTGCACTGCCTTCTGCGGCGTCAACGGCACCGCCTCCCCTCCTGTGCCCGCCTGCAACGGCCATGGTGTGTGCTTCTTGGACGGCCCCAGCAACACGCCCACATGCCTCTGTGACGATAAATTTGTGGTTGGGGAGTTCCCTGGCAGCTGCGTGGCCGTGGCAGGTGAGCCACTCACAGTCACAGCTTCCCTCACACATGCAGCATCCCATGGCATGCCTTGTCTCTATTTCACTCACACCGATATGACTTTGCCAAGCACACCACATTCTTGCGATTGTCTTTTTCAACTGCGTTTCTGGTGACCGAGTGCCCTCTTTGAGACCACATGTTTCAAACTTGCCTCTACAACTGTCTCGTGCCTCGAATCCCACATTCAGGTGGTAAGACGGAGCAGCAGCAGACCCCCACAGCAGCCACGCTCACAGCCACTGGCGACGCCGCAGTGGATGCTGCAACAGCCACGCTCACTCTCACGCCCGCCCAGCCGTCCAAGGCTGGCAGTGTGTTCCTGGCAGCGCGCGTGCCGCTCTTCTCCTACCAGCTCATTGGAGACTCCTGCGGCCGCGAGCTCGCCTTTTCCTCCAACTTCTCCGTCACTCTCACCCGCCCTGCTGCCTCCGGCTCCGAAGGCTTTGCCTTTGTGGTGGCCTTTGATGCCACCCCGCCCTCAACACCGGTGGTGGGCGGTATGGGGTATGCGGGGATGGGAGCGCGCAACGTGGCAGTGGAGTTTGACACGTCGATGGATGCGGGCAACAGCGACCCTGACAGCAACCACGTGGGCATCAACACCGGCGGCAATGTCACGTCGGTGGTCACAGCCAAGCCCAGCACCCCTCTCAATGACGGCACGCCCAAGCACGTGTGGATCGACTACGATCCTTCCTCCGGTGGCTCCCTGCGCGTCTTCCTCTCCTCCCAGGCGTCCCCTCGCCCCACCACCCCCCTCCTGTCGGCACGCATCTCCCTGTGTGAGGAGCTCGCCCCCTCCCCATCGGAGTACACCTTTGCCATCGGCTTCACTGCTGCCTCCGCCACCCAGGCTCAAAGCCATGTCGTCTCCGCCTGGACCCTCTCCACCTGTGAGTGTACCCCTACGTCCTTGTCTCTCACTTGTTGTTCCCACCTTATGTCTTTAGTAAGGAAAGCAGTCTGATGACCAATGGCATAGTTTGCAGCCTTAGCACAATGAATAAGCTACAATTTCGTTTTGACATTTTTTTGTTATTTTTCCTTTTCTGTTCTTTACTTCTGTTTGCAGACTTTCCCATCCAGCCAGCTCCAGGTGCGATACTCTCCTGTTCTTGTGAACCAGTTCCGGTTTGGGTGATGAGTATTTCCTTTAACAATCGTCGTCGTGTCTACCATGTACCCTTTCAGTTGCAGCGCGGGGATTTTCCTTTAGCGAGGCGGCACTCTCTCTATCGGGGATTAATCTATTTTTCCGCGATGCCAGCTCGGGCAGTGTTGCTGCTGAGGGTGGCCGGGACGTGTATGGTGTGCAGCCTGCAGCTTCCTGGGCTAGGCCTGACTTCACATGGCCTGTCAAGACACAGAGCGCTTGCGGTGAGTACGCTTGAACCCCGCCATAAAATATACCTGATGTTCAGCTATATGATACCAGGCCTTTATATGTGGTTCAGAAGTTCAGATCGGTGATCACATAGGTCGTTCAAACAAGAGTTCATGTGGTAGGTGAAGGGTGGGGGAGGGTCAAGGAGGAGATGAAAATGGAGACGAGCCATACTTGCCTGAATGCGATTAACAAAGCGGGTTGAGCAACACTCGTCCCACCTTAATATTATTGAAATTTGACTTGAGTAAGGTATTCTTTCCTGGGCTCTTTCTTCGCTCATGCCTAGGGCGGTCTGGCCCTAGGCATGGTCTTACTGCAGTACTGGCCGAGTACTGCAGTATCTGCTGCTGACAACCAGCAGCCTGTTGACTACTATTAGGACCTAGCAGCTCTTATCACACCTTTAATTTACACTATATAGTCCCCAGAGGGTCACCTCCAATGGTCCTCGGGTGCCTGCTGAATCAGCCCTATCCAAGGGTCCGTGCTCGTAGAGGGAACCAAGTGTGATAACAATCATGTGCACTAGAGCATTCCCAAAGTCCGTTGCGCATTAGACGATTGCTAGGTCCATGTTCAGAAATAGCTCATCACGTCAATACGTCGATAGAGCAAAAGGTTGATTACAACTGAACACAAGCACACATATACAGAAATCACTAAGCATGAGCAAAAGGCACACAAAGCAGTCATTCAACTGCATTCTCGGACTTCGCCACGCCAGGTAAGGAATGAAAACTGTTGTCCAGCATCTGTTGCGTTTGGCTTGATCTGCTCTATAGAAAATTTGTTTTCAGGTTTCGCTTCCTCCAAACGCCCCTGCTGACTCGTCTCACGAGCGATCATGAATGCACATGTAGAATCATGTTCCCTCGTGTGGAATTACTGTTTTCCCGTTGTAAAACGACTTTTACCGTTTTCTACCTGAAACAAAATTGTCGTGCTACACGCGCGATGTTATGGCGAAGTCTACTGATCGCCACGTCACAAAAGACGAGGCTCGAGATGCAGTGATATGACTAACATAACGAGCAAAACTCGAGCACCCCTCGGGATCTTGCAGCACCCTCCGAAACCCACGCGCACCTCAGGCCGGCGCAATTATAGCACAGGAGATATTTCCGGTAGTGCTGTACAGTGCACGTTGTGCGCTGTCCTGCGCAAGGTCATGGCAAATTTTGCCTGTCCTGTTGCAATTGTGCCCCATGCGCACACTCACAACAGTGCGAGCCACAAGCGTGGTCCCTGTGGGGCCACACGCGAGATCTGGACCCCACGCGCGGTCCAGATTCTCCCGCGCTTTTACCTTGACCAGCGCGATAAGAATCTGAGGGGCAAAAACACTCCCTTGCCCCACATGAACTCACACGAAAACTTATGACAGAAAATACAAATAGTCATGAACGAACATGATCGTACATGATCGTACATGAATGTACATTAAAGTACATAAACGCTCTTAAACGTACACGAACAGCACGCGAACGCTCATGAACAAGATGCAAGGGTCCATTAACACTCATGAACATTTGGAACTTCATGAAACACCACGAACGCACATGAAAAGTCGACACTTCTCGCATGCACGAACAAACAGTCATAAAGATTCATGAACGGCCACTAATGCAACATCACAAGAACTCATATAACTCATGAACCGCTAAGGCGGTTCACAAACCATAAACACACAATTGAAAAGCACACAAATTTGTATTACACACACCACAAATCTATTTAAAACAAATTCTTCAAATTCCTTGCTCGAGGAATGAGCGACAGGTTGACGTGCAAGTTATTTTTTGCACCCAACACAGCCTTCACACATTGCTTGCATGCAACTGTGCCTATCATTGACTCCCACCCATGTGTTTTTCATATGCAACCCATGAAATCCAGGTGTTTCCTCTATGCAACCCTCACAACCCATGTGTTTTCTCTGTGCAACCCTCACCACCCCTGCATTTCCTGGCAGGCGACTGCTGGGCGTACGCAGTGGTGGGCAGCGTCGAGGCGGCACTCGGCATTCTCTCCAACACCTCAGCGGCGCCGGTGCTGTCAGTGGAGCAGCTGAAGGTCGCCATGAAGGTCGGCTGCTCTGGCAGCACGCCCTCTCAGGCCTTCCAGCTGCTGCTCAAGCTGGCGCAAAAAGGAGGCGGGCTCATGCCGGAGAGCCAGTGGGCGGTCGAGAAGGTCAAGAAGCCCGCGAAGGCAGGCAGTAGCAGTCCTCTCTGCGCACCGCTCATGAAGCCATTGGCCAAGCTATTTGGTGTGGCGTGCAGCAAGGGTAGTGACAGTGTACGTTTGAGAGTAGAGAGGTTGTGGGAGTTTGAGCGGCTCACAGCATAGCTGGATTGACTCAGTGCATGTCGTTCGGACAGTTGGGTTACTGTGGTGCTTCCAGCTCGAGCTCAAGTTCCTTAGATGCTGAATGCTCATAAGCGTGTATGCTGTTCGAATTTCTAGCTTTGTTAGTTCAATCTCCATACCCCATCCTTCCATGCAACAGTCATCGTCCATACCCCGTCCTTCCCATTCCCAAGCAGCTCCCTGGTGGGTTCCCCATCAAGGGCTTTGAGTCGACGTCCTTCTACGGCTGGTTTGGGCTGCTGCTGGCCGTGCAGCGGCAGCCAGTGGTGGTGCACATTGAGGCTTCCGCCTCGTCGTTCAAAAATTACGATGGGGTAAGGCGAGCAGTGGGGGATCTTGTGTGGAGGAAATGGAGGAATGTGATGGAACGAATAGAAAGCCATGTGAATGAATAACAGATGCATGTGACTGTGTATGTAAGAGGGTGTGGCGGTGAATGGGAGGGCATGTTTGTAACGCGTGCTGCACTTTTGAAAAGGAGTGGATATGGTATTGGTTGTGTTCTGGCGTCCTGAACCCCTTCTACACAGGAATATACTAAGGCATGTGGGCAAATACTCATTACCCATTCCGTCCTTCCCCCAGCTGTACAAGTACCAGGACCCCGATTGCTTCACGTTCAACCTGAACCACGTGGTGCTGCTGGTGGGGTACCGCCTGGTGGGCAAGGACTCGCGTTTCCCCAAGATGGCGCCGCCCTTCTGGATCATCCGCAACTCATGGGGGCCTGACTGGGGCGATGGGGGCCACATGCGCATGGACATCCAGGGGGGGGATGGTGTGTGCGGCATCAACTCGCTGCCAGGCCTCTACCCTGTGGTTAGAGGTGAGTAAGTGCATGGTCGGAGGTGAGTGCATAGTCAATGGTTGTGCACGGTGCATGATGGTTTTCTTTGTACGCACCAATGAAATCATATCCTCCATTCTTTGTTTTTTGAGAACATACCACCATCTCTGGTTTCAAACTGAACCACCATTTCTGTTATTCAATCATACCTCCGTCTCTGCAGTCCTTGGTCATGTGAACTCATCTTCCTTTCTTCTCTGCCCCCCTCTGCCCCCTCGCTCTCTACCTGCAGGCACCGCTGACCCCTGCAGCAAAGCCGCCCGCAATGACAGCACTGGTTCGTTTTTCAATCCCTGCGGCAAGTTCACCTGCATTGCCAAGGGCAAGACAAACGAGTGTGACTGCAACGACCCGCGCTTTATCCAAGCAACCAACGCAGATGGCTCTCGCACATGCACATACAGTAAGCCTCTGCAGCCACCGCCCCCACCCCTCCTGCTGCTGCTGCTGCCGCCGCCACCGCCGCTGCTGCTGCTGCTGCAGCGGCTGCTTGCCTCCTCTCATTGCTGTCACCGCCACCGTGTCGGCTCTGTCCTCCCTTCCCTCCCTTTCACTCTCTTCCCTCCCCTCTCGACCCTTTTCCTCCCACCCAATTGCACTCCGCTTCAGAGGACGCACGCAAGGCAGCTAAGCGCAACCCGTGTGCAGTGGGAACATGCGTGAATGACGGGGCGGGGTCATACTCGTGTGTGTGTCCACCGGGCTTCAGGCAGGGCACCACCGTCGAAAGCACCTTCTCTTGTGCTCCAGGTACGTCCTTGTAGATTTCCTCTACCAGAGCGTCTCAATAAAGCTCAGAAGCACGATGTTTGCACATCGAAGATGATCACAGAATGATCAACTAAAGGCAGAGGTACACACAGAAACGTGAGTGGTGGTCTCTCAAACTTTTCTAATTGCCCTTCAGTTTTTATGTACTACAATACGCACACAAAACAAATTATAAATGGAGCTTTCAACCTGAGTCGTGCGCAACTTGTAACGTCTTGTGAACTTGAATTTTGCTGATGCAAGATTCAGAGACAAAAAAAAAAAAAACTGAAAAAAAAATAATAAATAAAAAAAAGGTACCGACAAAATTCTTTGCGGGCAAATTTCATTGGCTGTCAAAATACAGCCTTTGACCAAATTACTTTAATGTAACACATGGACCAAAAGGTCACAGGTCCGGACCTCGTGTGAACCATACAATGTGCAGAAGACTCTGTTGGGACACATGTGCCAGATAGAAAGATGTTGGGTTTTAATCCAACCGTAATTCCGAGCGTACCCTGCAGTATTGCTCATGACAACAGTTCGTTTCAACACTCCAATGCTCCTGGTACCCTATCTTGTGCACCAGGTACCTTCTCTGTGAACAGATATGAGCAGTAGTGATTAGTCTACCAAGAAACGCAAACATCCTTAAGCACAACTTCTGTTAAAGGATCAAACGGATGAGGGGCAAACAGGAAGAAATCTCAAGGGGATCTACATGAATTAATAGGTGAATCTAACCTGTGCTGCATGTACATGTGGCATACATGTGTTGCTTGCTGTGGTGCATGCAGGTGACACCAGCAACACCTACACCGTGCTCTCTCCCAACGTCCGCTGCTCCGATGTCTTCCCGGTCTACAGCCTCACGCTTGCCCAGTTCCAAGCCCAGAACGTGCGTCTCCCGCAAACTTGAGAATTCTCCATACTGATCTAATCAAAAATTTTATATCAAAGCATGTGTCTCTTGTACCCACACCTCTGCCCTATCCTCACCACCCACTCATCCTCCTTATCACTCGACTCCCTGACCAGACGCACGTTCTGGTCACACAGTTGCCTTTCCTGTCTTTCACCACGCCACTCACACACAAGCTCCTTCCCCCCCATGACTGCCTGGGTGTGTGCCGTGTCCCTTCATGCCTCTCCCTCGGTGTGTGCAGCCATCTGTGTCGTGTGTGGGACCCATCCCACCCTCCACCGTACTCAAAGTGGCCAGCCCAGCCTCTCTCATCCTCTGCTCAGTCTTCTACACCACTCAACAGGTCCCCACCTCGCATCCTTCCTGCCTGTGCACCATTTTTTCCATCTTCCTCCATATCCTCATCTTCCTCTTGCTACCTCTAAATATGTCCTAATGTGCCATAGCCAATGCCCTTCATCCCATTTTGACAATCTCAATTCTTCTGTCCACCCCATTTCAAAAACCTCAAATTCGCCAAACGTTTCACGTCTCTATCTTTGCTGAAGAGGGTACTCACACTCTCTCACTCTCTGGATCCCCTGTGCATCTCTCCCTCCTCCATCTCACTTCAATGTTTCACCTCACTTCCTGTTACTGAGCGGAGCTCTCATACTCTCTCACTCCCTGCTTCCCTTGCCTCCCACCTCCCGCTCCTCCCTGGCCACCTCATCCTCAGGGCGACACCTGCGCAGCCTTAGCTGAGTATTTCAAAGTGCACTTGTCCTGCCCATCTGATGACTGCACAGCCGCCTTCCAGGCGCTCAACCCCAGCTTGGACTGCAGCGCCAACGGCGGGCTGCTGCAGCCGGAGCAGGCGGTGTGTGTGGAGCGCATAAAGAAGAAAGTGGGGCTCATCCCGGTGTGCTCGCAGTACTACCTGGTGCAGAGCGCAGAGACGTGCGAGTCCATCCGCAATGTGCCCTACCCCCCTCTGAGCCCCGTTGACTTCTTTCGCCTCAACCCCGGCATGAAGTGCAACCGCCTCATTCCAAACACTGATGTTGGCAGCTTCACTGGCTTTGAGGTGCGTGCGTGTGTCTGCTCATGCCCCTTTGCCCTTCTGTGTGGATCGGCCGCCCTCCCCACCTAACTCGCTGCTTGCTGTCTCTTTTTCTATTGCATTCCCTCCCCTCACCTCCCAGGCATGCATTGCGAGCTCCACGTCGTACACTCAGGGCACGTGCCCACGTGCGAATGTGTATGTGTTGGGGACAGGCGACAGGTGCACGGCCATTCAGGTGAAGTACTTCCGGGGCATCAAGGGCTGCTACAGGAAAGTCAACGGATATGACTGCATTGACAAGCTCATCAAATCAACCCGCGTGTGCCTGCCCGACAAGATCAAGCTTCAGAAAGGAGTCTGCGACAACTGACCTCCTGCAGCCTTCCTCTGCATCTCCCGTACTTTGAATTGGCAGATGTTTCCTGTCCCACATGCTTATTCTTGAATTTCTTTGCTCCACGCTAAGTAACAATAAGGAATATCCTTGTTAGCGCCTTCATGGCTGAGGTGTTGGAGCCAGGGTATGTCAAACTATGTTCTAAATGTGTGTATTGTATCTTTAGGCTAGAAAGAGCTAAGCTTTAGGGAGTGCAACACTTCATACTTGTGCTCCCTGTACTCTTGTCATATTTTCTTCTCGACATGGTATCCTCGGTTAGGTGAGGTTGCTTCCGCTCCTCTCCTGATCTCCTAAGTAATTTCCTCGCCAAGCCTAGCCTAAGTAAGTCCGAAATTTCCCTCCCAAGTCGTACCCTAGCGCTGCCCTGCTGCCCCGCTACCCAGTGTGCCATGCTGCCACGTCGCCCAGAGCGCACCGCTGCCTCACTAACGCAAGCACCAGCGCTGCTGCCTCATTAGTGCGAGCAGCAGCTGCAGCAGCGCTGCCACCGCCACCACTGCCTTGGTCGCCACCACTACTGCCTAGGCCATTGCTTCCTAAGCCGCCGCCGCTGCTGCTACCTAGGCCGCTGCCGCCTAGGCCGCCACCGCCACTGCTACCTAGGCGCTGCCGTCGCCGCTGTTGCCTAGGCCGCCACTGCGCTGCTGCTGCCTTCGCCGCTGCATCTGCCTACCTATGCCGCCGCCACCGCTGCTGCCTAGGCCGCAACTTGTTAGAATTATGGTTAATTCGGGTTGCTCCAATAAACATAAATAGTAGTGTAGAATACATAGGCTGGGTTGGAAGAGCTTGTGGTGTACACTCTTTAAAGTGGACCACCTCTCAAACCCTATAGGTTAGGGTTCTCTCTTATTAACTTCACTTCTTTGAAACTTCTTTGGTTCTAGCATGATTCATGCCCAAGTTGGCTCCTAAGATTCCTAGGCTTTAGGAGGATGTTCTAAGACCACTATAGCTTCCGCTAGTAGCTTAGACCATTCTAACACTACCAACGTTGTTACCTAAGCCGCCGCCGCTGCAGCCTAGGCCGCAACTATCGTTGCAACCTAAGCTGCCGCCGCCGCTGCTGCCTAGGCTGCTGCTTTCATATACATATACAAAGTAGCAATGGGCTTATGAGTTGTTATACCCTTTTTAGCTTTATTATAATAACATTGTTTGGAATATGACCAGCAGCTGCTGACGTGTTAGTCCAACCCCATCGATTCTACATGGCTTGTTTTTCTTGTGTGTGCACATGAGTGTGTGAATCGTGGGTAATATTATCAAATGTGTGTATGGAGTTGTTATCGAGCTTTTGCCAGTTGGATGACACGTCGTCGTTTGTGTATCGTGTGTTTTTATTTTGTCGTGTGTCGAACATTTGGTGTATTGTCGTTTTGTGCAGCAAGCTATTGAGACCTAAAGGAATAATTAACCATGAAGACCCAAAGCACATTATTTGTTGCTGTGACCATTCTGTTATCAAGTTTTGAAGCCGCTCTGCAGAAATCCGTATAGGCACTCTATCTTCTGTTTAAGTCGCTCTATCTTTGCACCATAACGAGTGGGATCAGAGCCCCATAGAGCAGCTTCGACAATGACTAGACTTGAAAAAGAGGCTGACAGGGATGTTAGTGGAGAAGCCAAACCTCAAGGCCAAGCACATGACCCCCCCATGGTTCCCTTACAACGAAGTCTTGGCCCTTCTAGGGATGAGCCTAGAGGTGGCCTTGACACGTTCAATGGGCACAAGTTTGGTTAATGAACCTTCAAGACTGAGACTAGATTTGACCACTATGATCTTCTCGAGGTGATGGAAGGAACGGAGAAGCACCTCGAGAACGACGCGGAGAAGAGCCAAGAGGTGCAGAGGAGCGCACAAAGTCATCTCCGGTTTGGGCAAGCATTGGGAAGCAGCCAAATTTCTCATATCAAGCCATTCCAGTGTGAACCAGAGAAGGGACTCAAGGCATGGCCTGCTCTCAAGGGTGTACGTGATCTTGCAATAACAGCGGTAGCTATGGTATTAGTGCGGCAAATGGCGATAAGGCTGTGACTGCAACACGGTCATCGCCAAAGCGCGCACTGTCCATGGCGGCTTGTGTCACTGCACGACTGGCACTTACGGTTGGCGCTAATGTTTGGGACTGGCTAACGATGGTCGAGCCGCGTGGTCATGACAAGGCACGATTCAAACTGCCCACAGCACGGGTCGTCGTCCCTACAAGGCGTGTCACCCCCGTTAAGAGCGACCACGACGTGAGCAGAGGAGAATGCACTGGATCTTAAGACGGTTGGTCGTGTGTGTGCGTCGCGAGCACGATAAGAAGGACGCGCCTATTGACTCAAGAACTGTTTTATTTTAACCGTGCGTGAGAGTTGAGGGGGATGAGGAAGAGCAGGAAGAGATCCGTTTGGATCTGTGATTCTGTCGCGAATCGTTATAGGGGGGAAATCGCAATCACGTAGGTGAGCTCAAAGTGGTACGCACCTCTAGAGGCTTCATACAAACTAGGAAAAGGCAATGAACAGTTACATTTTAACTAGACACTCAAGTCATTGATCACTATTAAACAATCATATCCTAAGGCCTCCTCAAGAACAACCCCTACTTGAGAACAATATAGTTTAAAAACCCTCCAAGTTCTCTAGTGTGGTCAGGAAACATACGGGAAGTACCCAAGAATGGAGTGCCCTAATGTATGATTGTTGCGTGTACCGCATATGTATATCGTCAGTTCTCACGAGGTTTAGTGTACCTCTACGCATTGTGCTGAATGAATATGCAAGAATGGATGACAATGTTGTGCAATAACACAACGGTTGTAACGTCGGATGCAAGAATGGAGCCCGATCTAACACCATGCCACAACGGATTCACCATGTCGTGCAACACACAGGCCCGAACGGTGCAATGTCGCACTGTCTAAACATGGCTCTCGATAACGCATCGCCGCTAGTGCGTTGGGCCTGTGCTTCATACCACTCCTTCTAAGCATCTTGTTGAATGTCAGTGCAAGAATGGATGACAATCCAACACCATACCACAACGGATTCACCATGTCGCGCAACACACAGGCCCGAACGCTGCAACGTCGCACTGTCTAAACATGGCCGTCGATAACGCATCGCCGCTTGTGCGTTGGGCCTTTGCTTCATACCACTCCTTCTAAGCATCTTGTTGAATGTCCGTGCAAGAATGGATGACAATCCAACATCATACCACAACGGATTCACCATGTCGCGCAACACACAGGCCCGAACGCTGCAACGTTGCACCGTCTAAACATGGCTCTCGATAACGCATCGCCGCTTGTGCGTTGGGCCTTTGCTTCATACGACTCCTTCTAAGCATCTTGTTGAATGTCCATGCAAGAATGGATGACAATCCAACACCATACCACAACGGATTCACCATGTCGCGCAACGCACAGGCCCGAACGCTGCAACGTCACACTGTCTAAACATGGCTGTCGATAACGCACCGCCGCTTGTACGTTGGGCCTGTGCTTATTGAATGTCCGTGCAAGAATGGATGACAATCCAACACCATACCACAACGGTTTCTCGTTTGTTGCTATTGATCATCGTGTTAGAATATCGTCCAATGGCGATAAACTGTTGTGGCAAAGCCTACAAGTGCACAATACATCTATCACAAGTAATACTTCTGGATGCTCGTTATGTGTGTGACATGAGACAAACCGGCTACCTTACCACAACCCCATATCAAACCATTAGCAACTAAGTGTATGATGATTTTTTTGTTGTATGTTTGAATTTTATTTAGCTCTTATGTGCAACACTGTGCGTTCGCAACAACACTGTACTTTGCAGGGATTAGGTTAAGTTCGCACTTTTGGGGCCAAAACCGTTCTACCCTGTGTAGTGATTGATGCGTTGGCAACCGTGATTGGCCGACGCATCTCAAACGATTCCCCCCACAACACAAGCACCAGCCAAGAGGTACTTCCGCCATTGAGCGGCTGAGATTGAGCGGTAGGTGATTTTATGATCGGGTGGCTACACGTACACCGTCACGATATAGCCTGATAGGGTTACTGTAATCTCTCTAGTTGCCCAACCCACCCCAACCACCCTCATGCCCCACCCACCTGCTCCCGTCACCCTCTGGGCCAACACTTTGACGTTGCTCGCTGTTTGACACACGCGTGTCCAGATCGCCCGTGACTCACAAGTATACAAAGTCATGGGCCGTAGCTCTATGCTTAGTGGCTACTATTTCAGTTTTAGTTGAAGCGGCGGTTTTCGGAGAAAGATAACAGTGATAGACCGTCGATAATCCCTTCGTGGGATTCAGTTGCGGTACCCCTTCGAAACCGGCTCAACCGTTCCGCGCGATAGAAATTTGCATTCCTACAACAACCATGATACGTGCAACACGTCAACAAGCAATGGAGGAGGAACAGGTTGGGCGCCGCGCGACAAGGAGGATGTCTAAACAGATCGATAGGGAGGGTGGTGGCGACGCTAAAAAAACTAATGCGTCCGTCGCGCGTGGCATTGGGCTGGAAAAAGTGGCGGCAAATAAGGTCGAGCGCGGTCAAGAGAAGTCCGGCAAGAAGAAGGAAGACAAGGGGAAGCAACCAACGCCACGCAAGCGTGTTTCTACTGTGAACAAAGATGCGGATGTTGCCTTTGCTGGAACCAAGCCCGGTACGAGTAACGATGGCACCACTGGCGGCAACGAAGATCCGGCGCGAGGGAGCGCGAGTCTTGCAGTCCCGTCGGCGGAGAGGGAGGGATCGGCGACAGGGGGAAACCCCGGAGGCGATTCCAGCGCTGAGCATGCCGCAACCAAGGAGTCCGAGGCGGAGGCATCGCAACACCATCTGACGCTGCTCCAGCCGACCGTGGTCAAAGTTTCTGCAGCCGTGCTGGATAAGGACAAGGTGGGGGAGCACGAGTCGATGGAGGATCCTAACCACAGCATCGCCAACATCGTTGGCTCTCCTCCTTCTGGTGGACGGGGGAGGCGTAGGCAGGAGAAGAGCGATGGGGAGGACGATTATGACACCACCATGCCCGGGGACATCACCACGCGGGCAAAGAGGCGGCAGACGACACGACAGAAGTTGGGACAACGAGAGGCACCAGGGAAGCACTCGGCAAGGCGGGCGGTCATGCATTGCGCCAGAAGGGCCGACCCGCAGCAAGAAAACCATCCTGCGAAAGGAGGGGCAAGAAAGTAGCGACGGGGACGAGGCCGAAACGGGGCGATGAAGACCCTGGTGATGCGGAGGAGGAGGAGGATGAGAAGGAGGATGCGGAGGAAGAGGAGGAGGAAGAGGATGCAGAGGAGGATGACGTGGATGTTGGGGAGGATGAAAAAGATGAGATGATGGCAGGGAGGACGAAGAGGAGGAGGAGGAGGACGACGACGAGGAGGGCGGCGACGAGGATGAGGAAGAGGAGGAGGAGGAGGAGGAGGAGGAGGAGGAGAAGGAGGAGGAGGAGGAGGAGGAGGAGGAGGAGGAGGAGGAGGAGGAGGAGGAGGAGGAGGAGGAGGAGGTGGCGGCAGTGAAGGGACGGGGCGGGCGTGGCAGACGGGTGAGTGGTACAGGGAAGGTGGGGGGCCGGACTCGCCATTCCCGAAAACGCGGGGCAGTTGACGCCGCGCGCAGCGAAGCAGCGGGCAAGCCAAAGGCGCGTAAGGTGAAGGTCGAAAGTGAAGGGTGTGGTAAAAAGCAAGGGAGCCAGGGAGCAAAAGGGGATGGAGGAGGAAAGGGTGGCCGCGCCAAAGGGGTTCCAGTGGGTATCGGCAAGAAAAAACCTGCCGGTAAACGTCGCAGCGTCCACCAAAGCACCCCGCGGAAAGGTGGCAACGAGAAGGCGCATGCTGCAAAAAAACCGAAGGGACAGCAGAAAGGTGAGCACCGACCGTGGCCAATACAACTAGTGTGGTTGTTGTACTCTCTGCTCAACCGTGCCAAATAACACCGTTTTCCACATTGCTTCTCCCTTACAGGGAAGGAGAAGGTCGACGAATCTGCCAAGCAAGGTAAAGCCTCTTGTCTCAAAACAATACAATCCTTAACCCAATTTAGATTCAAACCGTTGATCTTATGCATGCATGTCTGGCCCAGTATTGAAACCGATCGACTCTGATTTCTTTATCCTACTCCCTCTACATCTCAGCCCCTCGCGCTACAGGCATTGGGCCACCGGTAAGCGTGCAACGGATGCAGCTAATGAAGGCTGCCGGAAGAGCGAGTGTTACACTGCTATCCACAGGAGCACCAAGGTTCTACATGCCATACTCCGGCCCGAGCAAAGTCGCTGCGACGGCACCCGGCGTGCCAAGAGGAGAGGAATCCGAATCCCCTCCACCAGCCCCCGTCACGCACTCCGCACTCGCCTCACCCTCGTACCCATTTCGGCAACTCCACGCTTCTCCTGTCCGGGGTAGGGCGGTCTCCCCCCTCGCCGATCCTTCGCGCAGGCATCAGCCAGGCACATATGCCAATCTCTTCCGTGAGCTCCCCTTTTCCCGCCAGCGCAAGAGTGTGAGGGCACACGGGACTGCTGCAGAAGACGTTGATCCCCTTGGCCAGAGGGGGGATTCTTCACACCCTTTTCCGCCGCTCATGGGTGCCCTAGGTGAAAGTGCGGAGCACGAGCAGTTTGTTACATGGTAGGAGTTCCAGGCGCTGCGGTGTGAGATGTACGCCATGTTTGCACAGCTCGGCCTGCGTCGTGGAGTACCTGCCAGCTATGCCGGCGGGTCGGCAACCGTGCCTATGGCTGGTACCCCACCGCCGATGAGTGCCGTGGACAAGGCACGATTGCTAGTATTGCAGGAGACATTCCCGGTATGTGGCGGGCGAAATGGGGCGGGATGGGGTTGACGTGGCAACCAGGGCGGGGTTGGGGTTGACGTGGCGGTTTGGAAGGGTATACGGGAGCGGCGCGTGACGACGCGACGCGTGTCAGGTGGGTGGGGGGTGACGTGGCATGGGGTGGGTGGGTGTGACGTGGCAACCGGGGCTGCTTGTCAGTGGACGTCGCGGATGGAGGAGGGTGTGGCGTGGTGGAATGTGAGGGTTGGGGTAGACGTGGCGGCTTGGAAGGGTACACGGGAGCGTGACGAGGCGACGCGTGTCGGGTGGGTGGGAGGTGAGGTGGCATGGGGTGGGTGGGTGTGACGTGGCACGCGGGGCTGGTTGTTGGTGGACGTGGCGGATGCAGGAGGGTGTGACGTGGCGGGATGTGAGGTGAGCGTGTGACATGGCGGCTTGGAAGGGTACACGGGAGCGGCGCGTGACGAGGCGACGTGTGTCAGGCAGGTGGGGGGTGACGTGGCATGGGGTGGGTGGGTGTGACGTGGCACGTGGGGCTGGTTGTTAGTGGACGTCCCGGATGGAGGAGGGTGTGACGTGGCGGGATGTGAGGGTTGGGGCTGACGTGGCGGTTTGGAAGGGTACACGGGAGCGGCGCGTGACGAGGCGACGCGTGTCAGGTGGGTGGGGGGTGACGTGGCATGGGGTGGGTGGGTGTGACGTGGCACGTGGGGCTGGTTGTTGGTGGACGTGGCGGATGCAGGAGGGTGTGACCTGGCGGGATGTGAGGTGAGCGTGTGACATGGCGGCTTGGAAGGGTACACGGGAGCGGCGCGTGACGAGGCGACGTGTGTCAGGCAGGTGGGGGGTGACGTGGCATGGGGTGGGTGGGTGTGACGTGGCACGTGGGGCTGGTTGTTAGTGGACGTCCCGGATGGAGGAGGGTGTGACGTGGCGGGATGTGAGGGTTGGGGCTGACGTGGCGGTTTGGAAGGGTACATGGGAGCGGCGCGTGACGAGGCGACGCGTGTCAGGTGGGTGGGGGGTGACGTGGCATGGGGTGGGTGGGTGTGACGTGGCACGTGGGGCTGGTTGTTGGAGGATGTGGCGGATGCAGGAGGGTGTGACGTGGCGGGATGTGAGGTGAGTGTGTGACATGGCGGCTTGGAAGGGTACACAGGAGCGGCGTGTGACGAGGCGAGGCGTGTCAGGTGGGTGGGGGGTGACGTGGCATGGGTTGGGTGAGTGTGACGTGGCATGGGTTGGGTGAGTGTGACGTGGCACGTGGTGCTGGTTGTCAGTGGACGTCCCGGATGGAGGAGGGTGTGACATGGCGGGATGTGTTATGTGATGCTATCATTTGCATTCACGTCTGTCTGCCTCCCATCATATGTTCGTGCGTTGCATGCGTGGTGTGAGCATGTGCAAGAATTTGTGTTAGGTATGGTTTGGATTTTTTGAGTGTGTGTGAATGTTATTTGGCTTGAGCATATATCTGAAGTGACTCCTCTGCTCAAGAGCTTTCCGACGAACCAAGTATCGCTTCAATCGGAGCACGAACAAGAAAGTTACGAACGTTAGAAGTTTGTATGCTTCTGATATTTGGTTGTGGTGACTATGGGAAGTTGTGGGGTTGACGCCATAAGGGGTATAGACTTTTGGGGGTTGGGAAATTCGTCAACATCACCGTAGATGCTGCCAAGTGGTTGAGAGAAACCAAATTGGGTTGGCAAGTGTGGCCAACTTGGGTGATGTGGATTGTGGAGGTTGGGAAATGGACAAAGGTCAAAGTTGGGTTCCTATAGGGAAGGGATTTGGTGTGCTTATGGGGTTTCCGTGGTTGGGGACTCCTTGGGGACTTCCCTCTCGTCCTTCTCTTCCTTCCTATCTGGTTTCCAGCTACTCTAACTTTCTTGCGTGAACTTGTAAGTTAAATGTGATTGAGTTTAATTGCTATGGCAGCATACCCCCTAGTGCGCCAAAAATCATAACTCGAGATATACTTCATCATTTGATACGATTCAAATGGGGAAAAATAGCCACTGTCAAGGGCTACAACATACTCGATTGAGAGAATTCTAACGGTGCGTTATTCGTCGATGAAGTTTCTTGTGAACTCGACATTTCATTCCAGATTTGTAGACCAACGAATTTGAGTTATTTTCGGCTCCCAATCTTCCTAGACTCCGTCCTTAGTCTCTAACAAGTGGTATCAGAGCTGATGAAGGACCTTGTGGGAAGTCTACCGAAGTGTGAAGACCATCCTAGACCCACCATGGCCTGTGGGCGTGCCTAAGTGGAGTTCTAGAGGTTGCATGTGACTTCCGCTAAGGGGAAACTCTGCCGAAATTTCGTTGGCGCCGTCACTTCTGAAAATTTTGTGGATCTACATTGTGACTAGCAAAGAGAGGAGCTGAAACCTGTGATTGGGAGCAGAGGAGATGAGTCAAGGAAGTGGAGAAGCAGCTGAGAAGAGGAGTGAGCCGCCACCATCCAAGATTGAGGCGTTGGATGGTTCCAACTACGATGAATGGAGCGGGCGGATAAAGAGCGTTTTCAAGCGCTACAAGCTGCTCAAACTTGCGATGGGAGAAGAGAAAATGCCCGAGGAAGGAGATGCTCGGGAGCGGTGGATCGAGCGGAGCACGGTGTTGTTCGACCTCTTGCAATCAGTCAACAACGACATGTTCCAGCACATCAAGGACTTGGTTGAGTTGGACGACTCCGGTCCAAAGGCGTGGAAGCTACTGCGCGACGTGATTCAGCCCAAGACGCTGCCCATGGTGATCGTGCTTGAGAAAGAGCTGGCGGCCATCTCCATGCGATCGGGAGATGATGTGAAGCCGGTCCTTGTTAAGATCAAGGACACATATGCGAGGATGGCAGCGGCGGGCAGCGAGGTGTCGCAGATGCAGCAATGCGCCAAGATCATCTCAGTGCTCGACAGCTCGTGGGACAACCTCATCCCCACCCTCAACGTTCAGCAGGACAAGTGGACGCCTGAGTGGCTACGGCAGTAGATCCTGCAGGAGGACTTCCGCAGGCGCCACACGGGAGGTGGTGCTGCCAACAAAACTGCTGAGGGGTATGGAGCTGCAGGAGGCAGCACAGGAAGAGGGGGAGGGAGAGGCCGAGGCCGCGGGAGAGTCTTTGGCAGAGGGAGAGGCCGAGGTGACTACAACGAGGGGCATGGGAGCTCTGGTGGCAGAGGGAGCACCCGAATGGAGGGTGCGTGCTGGTACTGCAAGAAGGCTGGACACCCATGGTTCAAGTGTTTCAGCCGGCCTGAAGGATGGGCGCCTCCAGGCATGAAGCCGCCAAGTGGTGAACACGCACGAGGTGGCACTGTACAAGGTTCAGGTGCACAAGGTGAAGGTGCACAGGGTAAAGCTGACCCTTGGATGTTCCTCATGGTTGAGGATGTGCAAGGGAGTGGGGGTGATGTGGGCTCAGTTGGGAAGGTTGTGATGCACCCCCTCACTCACTGGGTGATCGATTCAGGTTTCACAAGTCACATGACCCCACAGGCAGATTTACTTGATGAGGTAAAACCCCCTAGGAAGATCAAGTTTGTGGCTGCCGCTTCAGGTGCTTTGCTCCTTGTGATTGGTGTGGGGAATGCCAAAGTAATGGGAGCTAAAGGGGAGCTTGTGGGGCTGGGGAATGTGTTCTGGTTGAAGGTTTGTCCGCTAACCTTCTCTCTGTGCGCCGGCTGCAGAAAAGCAAGGCCAAAGTGACCTTCGGCCCAACCAGCTGTCGTGCAAAGCTTGAGAAGTTGCTGTTGTGGGATTTGGAGGAGAAGAGCAGTTGCATCAAGGACCTCTGGCAGCTGCCCATCATTCCTTGGAATGGGAAACCACCAGCAACGGCAGCGGCAGCGGCAACGGCTAAAACAACTGCGGGAGGAGAGGAGACTGCACCAACTGATGGGGCCGTGGATGCAGTCAAGAAGGTGCAGCAGCTACAGCAGCCACATGGTGAGGTGCTTGCTGGTGTGGATGCAACCGCTGCATGGGCAAAGGCTTCATCTAGGAGTGGTGAGGCCGATTGGGAGACGTGGCACAAGAGGTTGTGTCATATGAATTTCCCTATGCTGCAGAAGTTAGTGAAGGATGGGAGCTTGAAAGGATTGGAGGTGAAGGGGGCAGTTAAGGAGATTGGGAACTGCTACTTCCAAGTTCACAAAATTTCCTTTCAGCAGCAGCACGGGACCGGCCAACGCTCCACTTGCACTAGTGCACATGGATGTGGTGGGCCCCACGAGGGTCCTTTCTCTCTCGGGCAGCCGCTACTTCTTGACCATTGTAGACGAC